CCATATTCACAGTAATTTAAATATGAATGCTGCAAAAATGTACTTTCACACCATGATTATCTCTCATTTAGACTAAATGGTAAATAACCTGTATTTGATATAGCGCCTTCTAGAGTCCTGGAACCCCCCAAGGCGCTTTACAACACAATCAGCCATTCACCCATTCACACACACATTCACACACTGGTGGGGATGAGCTACGATGTAGCCACAGCTGCCCTGGGGCGCACTGACAGAGGCGAGGCTGCCGAGCACTGGCGCCACCGGTCCCTCCGACCACCACCAGCAGGCAAGGTGGGTTAAGTGTCTTGCCCAAGGACACAACGACAGCGACAGACTGAGCGGGGCTCGAACCTGCAACCTTCTGATTACGGGGTGAGCACTTAACTCCTGTGCCACCGACTTCTCTACTCTAACACACCTAATCCTGAATCATCTGTGCAGCAGCTCCACCACTGCCGTAACAAAGCTTCTGCTCAGAGCTCTGGGCGCCTGGACACAAACTTTACGTTCATATTTATTCTTTTATTATTAGTTGAGGGATCGGTGTTAGTGTGAGGTTTCCCCCCCCCCCCCCCCCCCCCCCCCCAAAGCGAGGGCACACCATCTTTACATTTTTACATCTATTTTTACGTGCTATGCTTCCAAAACACGTCACACTCCACAGTTTAGACCACGCTAGACAGGAAGTCAAGCACAAAAGCAGTGTAGAACACATCCAGAAACTTTCAAAGTAAAAGTCACATGCAGGTAAATGCATGTGACTTCCTGTTACCACAGACATCTTTTGATACATGCAGCAGTCTTTCTGCTTGCTTGTTATTGTGCGTGGACTTCTGAAACCCTGCATGGTGTTGCAGTTCTCCCGTGATTTTGTGACGTCACGGGGTCAGCTGTGTGGAACGCTTTCACTCCCGTTTCACGTCAGAATTTCTCCTGGTTGGGAATGAACTCGCAGGTAAAACGCTGTTATTACGCTACGCGACCGCTTTCACGGCTGGTGGAAAGGCGGGGTTACAGCCACATCCGGTCCACCATAGTTGTTTTTATAAGACACACGAAACTGTCCCTCATTCTCCACCACCTCTTCAGGTGATCACCCCCTCCAAACCCACGTTTTCCATCATTTCCATCCACGAATAAAACATTGCTTTAAACTCTTTAAACTCTTTCAGTCCCGAGTGAATAAAAGTTTCATAGCTTTGGAGTTTTCCCACAATGCCTGCTTCAGTCTGTTCCAGGTCTGCCACAAGATATCTTTTTATTTTTGAGGAGGCAATAGCGGTGCTGTTGACGATTTAAAGGAAGCAGAGTCCTGACCAATCACAGGCTTGTGGTCTCCATCACTTTCGAAGGACAGTTAAAAGTTGGGCATGTCTCAGCTTCTGTGAGCCTGTCGGAGAGCCCTTTAACTGCTGCTTAATGAGGTTGTGTGTCTCCGTACTGACGCAGACTTTAGGGCTGACAACTCAGCTTCTGGATCGTAGAATGTTTTTTTTTCAAAAGCGTCGCCCATAAACCAGCCACATTAGGGCTGCACGATATTGGGAAAACCTGCGATATTCGATAATGATTAATATTGCGAAGACGATTTTACTTACGATAAATAAAAACTTAACTCAGGAACAAAACTGATAAAAACAAAGAAATAAAGATATTATAAAAATAAGAAAAGCTAAAGATGTGAGGAAAGGGAAAAAGAAAATGAACAAGAAAAAGCAATCAGCGGATCCCCGGAAAAGAAGAATCAGCAAAAAGAGCAGAGCAAAGCTGACTCAGGTGTTTGCTAACCCATCCATCCATTTTCATCCGCTTATCCGGAGTCGGGTCGCGGGGGCAGTAGCCTAACGCGAGAGGCCCAGACTTCCCTCTCCCCAGCCACTTGGGCCAGCTCCTCCGGGGGAATCCCAAGGCGTTCCCTGGCCAGGTGAGAGACATAGTCCCTCCTCTGACCAGATGCCCGAGCCATCTCAACGGGCTCCTCTCAATGTGGAGGAGCAGCGGGTCTACTCTGAGCCCCTCCCGGATAACCAAGCTTCTCACCCTATCTCGACGGGAGAGCCCAGCCACCTTCGGAGAAAACTCATTTTGGCCGCTTGTATCCGCGATCTCGTTCTTTCGGTCACTACCCAAAGCTCACGACCATAGGTGAGGGTAGGAACGTAGATCGGCCGGTAAATCGAGAGCTTCGCCTTCTGACTCAGCTCTCTCTTCACCACGACAGACTGGTACAACGCCCGCATCACTGCAGATGCAGCACCAATCCACCTATCGATCCCACGCTCCAGTTTTCCCTCACTCGTGAACAAGACCCCGAGATACTTAAACTCCTCCACTTGGGGCAGGACCTCATCCCTGACCCGGAGAAGTCATTCTACCCTTTTCCGACTCAAGACCATGGTCTCAGATTTAGAGGAGCTGATTCTCATCCCAGCTGCTTCACACTCGGCTGCGAACCGCTCCAGTGAAAGCTGAAGATCACGTTCTGATGAAGCCAACAGGACCACATCATCTGCAAAAAGCAGAGACCTGATCCTCAGGCCACCAAAACGGATGCCCTCCACACCTTGGCTGCACCTAGAAATCCTGTCTATAAAGGTTGTGAACAGAATCGGTGACAAAGGGCAGCTTTGGTGGAGTCCAACTCTCACTGGGAACCAGCCCGACTTACTGCCGGCAATGCGGACCAAGCTCTGATAAGGGCTGTTAGGTCCCTGTATGACTGGTGTCAGAGGGCCTGGTACCCCATACTCCTGGAGTAGCCCCCACAGGGCCCCCCAAGGGATGCGGTCAAACGCCTTCTCCAAATCAACAAAACATATGTTGACTGGATGGGCAAATTCCCACGCACTCTCCAGGATCCCCCTACGGGTATGGAGCTGGTCCAGTGTTCCACGGCCAGGACGAAAACCACATTGCTCCTCCTGAATCTGAGGTTCAACAATCCGATGGACCCTCCTCTCCAGAACCCCTGAACAGACCTTACCAGGAAGGCTCAGGAGTGTGACCCCCCTGTAGTTGGAACACACCCTGCGGCCCCCCTTTATAAATAAGGGGGCCACCACCCTGGTCTGCCAGTCCAGTGGGACTGCCCCCGATGTCCACGCGATATTGCAGAGCCACGTCAGCCAACACAGCCCCACAACATTCAGAGCCTTAAGGAACTCCTGGCGGATCTCATCCACCCCTGGAGCCTTGTCACAGAGGAGCTTTTTAACCACCTCAGTGACCTCAGCACCAGAGATTGAGAGGCCAACCCAAAGTCCCCAGACTGTGCTTCCTCACTGGAAGAGGTGTCGGTGGGATTGAGGAGGTCTTCGAAGTGTAACAAAGTGGGGGCTCGTCCGGGATTTCTTAACAGACAGACCGTGAAGGAATGCAAAAATCCCCTGGTGGTGGTGTTTTAATGGTGTTTTATTTGTTTCAAGGTTTTAAACAGATGGCTTCGTGGATGACTGGCGGGTGCTTCTGGAGGCCCAGCTCCCACTGGAGGATCCACTGCTGGATGGGCTCTCGGAAGCTTCGAGCCTGATCCAGCCCAAGGAGAGGAGGATAAAAGACGTGGATCCAGAGATGACCCCCACAGGCAGGCTCAGGTGTTGCACCTAGCAGGTTGGCATTGGTGGTTTACTCCACCATCTCGGGAGCACCCCAGGAAGGGCAGGGGCTAAACCCCCTCCCTTTGCTGATCAGAATGTGCAACAGCACATGTGCTTAATATGCCCGCCTGCGAAGTGCATGAAGAGTAGGGAGTAGATAGCCTGTTTATTGTTTTGTCGGGGGTCTCTCTTGTTTTTATGTGATCCTAGCTGTTAAAGAAAAAGTTTTAAAAGTTACTATTGTGTCCTGTACTAACTTTTATCCTTTTTCTTTTGTTTATGTGTGGGGGTGTCACGGCTGCCAGCCTGAAGAGGGAAAAAGCAGCCAGGATCACCCAGCTCTGGTGATTGACTGGACACCGCCCCTCCTCCTCCTCTCTTCCAGGCTGCTGAGGAGCACAGCTGAACTGAATCCTCCTGATAAGCCACACCTGGGATAAAAAGGCTGTGCCTTCAGCAGTCTGGGAGGCAGCAGTGCAGGGGTTCTGCTGTTCTCCAAGTCTCGTTTGGTTTAACCCCGTTGTTGTGATGAGTTTTAACTTATAGTTTTAACTCGGAGTGATCCACATGGATCTTTTGTGCATGGCACCTAGTGTTGACTGTGTTTTAAGGTTAACTCGGATTTATTTTTTTAGACTTTTATCAACGTCGTTGTGTTTTTTAAAACACCTTCAGTTTAGGTAAAACTTAATAAAGTTAACCAGGTGTTTTATATAGTTGATAATTTGTCTTTTAACTGTTAACCTTATAGTGAATTTTTCGTTTTGCATTATTTTAATAATGCTCGCCATCTGTTTGCTCTTGTTTTTAGAACCTTTTATCACAATTAAACCCATTTTAAACACCACTGTCGTACTCCTTATGTTACCCCCTCCTTCACATTTTAACATCTCCTGTCGGGGACGTAACAGTGTGTGTGAGTGCGTGCGTGTGCTTGTGTGTGTGATTGTTCATTTTCAGCTCTCTAATCTGTTTAGATACACAAAAACGATCACAATGTTTCATTTAGAAACATTTCTTTTTTCGTTGCATTTACCAGCCTGCCTAGTCTGCTTTGGTTCGACTTCCTGCCAGAGTTGACGCAGCTCATGAAAATAATAGAGCACGCGGCGAAACGATCGCTGCACGGCGTGAGCTTCAAATGCGCTTCGCAGCTGATACCGTAGGTTAACAAGGGCACCGGATAGAAGCGCTCCTCGTTCCACGGCGCTTCGTCGCGCGTCCGTGTCTGATGTGATCCGGGCGTAATGCTTTAAACTGTAAAAGACGATTAAACTGAAATTCCTTCTGCTGAGAGTCAAAACAAGACCACGAGGACACATTTCTTCTGAATCACTGCCCACACTCCCAGTGATACCCTGAGCTATCATGGAGACACTTAACAGTGAAAGCATCTTCTACCTTCTGTATTCTCCTGGGATCCTTGACGAGGCCTTCCCTCAGGGGGACTTTTCCAAAAAGCTTCCAGCCAGGATCCCTGGGATCTGCGGGCTGACTATCCTTCACCCTTCTAGCAAACAGGCTCCTGTAGGAAGGGACGACGACAGGAGAATAAACAACATGAACAAAGGTTGATATAATCAGTAACAACAGTAAACATGATCTAATATTGTGTTTGTTGTAGACACATTCATAACTTCAGTAACCCTCCGAGGCCTCTGCACCTGCACACAGGTCATCTGGTGCACTAGCAGAGAGCTCCAGTCGTCTCAGGTCTGAAGGGTTTCTTCTCCAGATGTTTCAGCTCTTTCTACAGATGTTCAACAAGATCTGGACCAGGGCTCGTGTCAGCCCACTTCAGGACAGCTTAAGCCAAATTTCCACCTCCCGGTCAGGCCCGGTGCGGAGCGGAGCGTATTATTGTGGTCCGGCATGTTCCGGTATGGACCTGTAATTTTCAGGCAAGCGTTTCTATCGCAGCTCGAGTCCTCATGTCGGCAGGCGGGGTTAAACAAGCTGTCATGTGCGATTATACGAATAAGTTGTATTCAGTATTTTTGTGCTGCAGTCACTGGTCTGCAGAGCTGGACCAAAACCAAACTCTAACCACCGATCCCACCTGCGACTCCAGAGTGCAGCCGCTGAGTCCAGACCTGCCTTGCTGCCTTGGTTTGAGGCTTTAAACAGCCTCCAGCATGTGGCAGCACCTGTGTGTTTCCTACATTTCCAATCCAAAAGTTAAACGAAAGAAATAATCCACTACAGCCGTTTCTGTCCTTAACGTTCCTCTACTGGGCTTTAATTACTTCAACTCGGCCCGATACCGTTCCGATGTCCGTTCGGATCATTCGACTGCCGTCCGCTGGAAGAAAAAACCCTTACGAATCCGCCTAGCTTCTCCTGTGCGTGGACTCTCACGATGACGTGAGGAGTGTATGGAGCTCTGAAGATCACCAACACTTGCTGCTGCTTGCTCGCATTTTTTTCATCTTCATGTACAACTAAAGAAAATACAAACAATGGAACTCTGTTGGTTTTGCTTGCTGCAAGCAGTGATGCATTTCTTTCTCCCAATCAGTGGACTGCGTTTTGCTCTGCCCTAACCACACTGCCACCATACCGGGGTCCAGTGACTGGTGCGGTCTGGGTAGATCGATTGTCTGGACTGGTTTTACAACCGTGACAGAAAACTTAGCGAAGCAGTCCTTCCCGTTCCATGCCAGTGTCGTCTATGGAAATGGGATATGAATGTTTTCTTGTGATCCGTTTTTGTATTTTTTTATAGCGGTGTGTTTTTGTCCATTGTCCATTTGGGACTACCCTCGACATTAATGCAACTTTTTCCAACAGCTCCACTCAGCGTGACTCGAGTCGACTCGGTCTGGCTGGACAGAATTTCCACCAGTAACGAGTCAGTGCTTATCACAAACTTGTCAGTAACCTGCTTGGAGGTGTAACTAACACGCACACGCACGAGCACACACACACACACCTTATGAATCTAAACACAAACATAATGTGACTAATGGTGACAGCTGAGGTGTTTCATCATGACAAGCGGAAGACAACGCACTCATGAAGCAACTATAGATAAGTCGGTACTTCACACGCAGCACATCTAAACTCAGGGTCACTGTCCACTCCACCCCAGCTCTGAACGTTCTCTGATTGCTTTCCTGACACTGAAGAGCACAAAGACAATGACAGCAGCTGGAGGCGTTTTCTGATTCTTTTAGTGACTAAATGGGTCGATGAAGAAGGTGGAAGACAGCATCCGTGACTAGCTCTTGGTATAGAACAGGCGTGGGGAACCCTGGCCCTCGAGGGCCGGTACCCTGCATGTCTTTGCTCCAACACTTCTGATTAATGTTTATTGTTTATGTTTATTCATTTAGCAGACGCTTTTATCCAAAGCGACTTACAATACCTACCTACCTATAGGGCATGTTGTGATCTGTGGGGGAAACCGGAGTACCCGGAGGAAACCCACGCATGCATGGGGAGAACACGCAACTCCACGCAGAAAGGCCGCAGCCGAGCAGAGTTTTGAACCAGCAACCTTCGTGCTGCGAGGCAACAGTGCTAACCACTGCGCCACCATGCAGCCCATGATTTAGTGGTTGATTCGCCCGTTCAGCTCATCGGGCTCTGCAGAAGCCTGTTAATCACCTGCTGATTTAAATCAGGTGTGTTGAAGCAGGTTAAACTACAATAAGCTGGAGAGCGGCCCTCGGTGGACCAGGGTTCCCCACCCCGGTACAGAAATACAGCTGAAAATATTTGTTCGAATATGCCATGAATTACTGAAGCCTGGAATTTTATATAACAATGAAATATCAACAATTAGTCAACATAATCGATTAGGTCTACAACAAAAGATTATGAACATTTTCTTTGGCTTGTTGTCCACATGTTGATCAAACAAACAGCCATCGTTTGCACATTTAACACACACCAATGTACTAATAACATGCTAACTTTGCACAAGCATTATGAAAACTCACTAATCCCAATTTTAAGAAGAATTAATATTTTAAAAAGCACCTCTTAAGATGAAAATCAAGAGGCGTTTCACAAAAACAAAAAGTTTAAATAAATTATTTTAGGATAGTGTAATAAAAACGGGTGAAAATAGAGGAAAAGGAATAAAAATTATTTAAAAATGTGAAGAAAACAGAATGAGAAAAAGTGTAACAGAATTGGTAGAAACAGCATGAAGAGAAGGTAGCGAAGAACCAGCACAAGGTCACACCAAAACCAGCTTGAACAAGTGAGTCTTCAGCTGTTTTTTAAAGGAGACCACTGAGTCCACTGATCTCAGGCTCAGGGGGAGAGAGGTCCAGAGTCTGGGGGCCACAGCAGCAGATGATCTGTCACCTTTGACCTTTAGCCTGGTGCTGCACAACCAGTAGGCTTTGATCACTGGACCTCAGGGACCTGCTGGAGGTGTAGGGACTAAGAAGATCACCAATGTAAGATGGTGCTTGTCCATGTAAGGCCCTATAGACCAGAACCAGGATCTTGAAATGAACCCTGAAGTTCACTGGCAGCCAGTGAAGCTGGAGGAGAAGCGGGGTGATGTGGGTGTGTTTGGAGGACTTGGTCAGAAGCCGAGCACAGGCGTTCTGAACCACCTGTAGACGGTTCAGGGAGGTTCTGCTCAGACACGTGAAAAGAGAGTTACAGTAGTCTAAGCGTGAGGAGATGAAGGTGTGGAGAACTGTCTCAAGTTCAGAGCGGGACAGAATGGGACTCAGCTTAGCAACGTTCCTGAGATGGAAGAAGGAAGAGCCAACAAGAGAACTGACATGAGAATCCAGGGTGAGAGCTGGGTCAAAGGTCACGCCAAGATTCCTGACAGAAGGTTTGGTGTGGGAAGCAAGCTGACCAAGAGAGTCTCTGACTTTGGGAACCAGCTTGTCTGGGGCACAGATGAGGATCTCAGTCTGATCTTCAGTCAGCTGAAGAAAGCTCCCACCATCCAGGCTTTGATAGAGTCTAAGCAGGTGTGTAACAGCTGCAGCTTAGACATCTCATGGGGCTTAAAGGAGATGTACAGTTGGATGTCATCTGCATAAAGATGGTAGGAGATTCCTCTGAAGGAGCTCAGGATGTGCTGAAGAGGAAGCAGGTAGAGGAGGAAGAGCAGAGGCCCCAGCACAGAACCTTGTGGGACACCATGGTTAAGGGAGGTGGTGGAGGACCTAAACTTGGAGACGGCCACAGAAAAGGAGCGCTCAGAGAGATAAGAGGAGAACCACTCCAGAGCAGATCCTGATAGGCCTACCCAGTCTCTCAGCCTCTCCAGTAGCAGGTGATGGTCAACAGTGTCAAAGGCTGCAGTCAGGTCCAGCAGGACCAGAACAGAACAGTCCCCTGCATCACTGTGGGTCAGAAGGTCATTAGAGACCCTAAGAAGAGCTGTTTCAGTAGAATGAGCTCTACGAAAACCTGACTGGAAGCTATCATAGATGTTCTGTTCATCAAGAGCAGCTGTGAGTTGTTTAGCCACAACCTTTTCCAAGATCTTGGAGATGAACCGAAGTTTACTTCAATAATGCTCCATTTTCTATTGGTAGGAAATACACAAGTACACCAGTAGGTGAGCACAAAGACTTATCAATGTATTTGTACAAGTACAAGTACACAGATGCAGATATCAGTGTTGGGGCATCCCTCGTCCTTATATATCTCTATGATTCTCCAAAGGGCTGAAGTTTCCAACACAGATGAATGTCAGCAAGTGCCCTTTAATATCTGACAGATGAAAGACAGAAGGTGCTTTGTTTGTTCTTTGTAACTAGCCTGAAGAGATGGCCTAATACCACCGTCCTCTCAGTCCTCATCTAAACACCACAGGATATAAAAACATACAAACACCTTCTTATGCAGATCCACAAACACACACCAAGTCACGAGGAGACTGGTACGGTCACATTTCACGCACGAGGACTGAGGAAGCTGTTCGAATACGGGAAGATCTGCTGCCGTCAGATCCGTCACATTCCATCCTCTGAGGAGAAACATCAGCACTGAGCACCAGGAACACAAGTGAAATCTTATCAGACAGGAAATAACGACGTAGTACAGTACGACACAGCCCTAGCTCTGTGTATCCAGCGGTGCTATTCTTAGATGTAAAGTCAACTCGCAGCAGGGAGCGGTGAGCTCGAGTAACCTTCTAAACCACCCTGATAACAGGGAAGCAGGTCCAAGGCCAAAGTACGTCCTCCTTCAGTAAAGCAAGGCCTGACTTTTAGTCCTGAGTGACATGACTGACTTTTCTCTGCAGCTGAACACAACTTACCTTCTGCTTTGGTTTGTGAGTCAGACACACACAAAGCTCTAACTCAATTTGCATTCAGCCTGAGCCAAATGCGCCGCGGCTATGAAGTCCAACGGGACACATCTGCACGTCCAGCCTGGTTTGTTACGTCCCTCAAGACAATCAGCACTTTACAAAGCTGCTGTTGGATCCAGATATCAGATTGGAACATGTCCCAGAGGCACAGGTGATCGAGATGGCAATCAGGACCATCGGTACGGAAACGCCAGACAAGATCCAACAAGAGCACGGAGGAAGGTGGGGAACAACGTTTTTCCCACGTCAGACACCGGCGAGGCGGATGAATCACTGCTGCAGGCGGCCTTCTCCAACATTTTACCTATAAACAGCTACTCCTTACGCTGCTGATAACCTTGTTTGGACTAGGTTCTTGTCAATCTTTAGACAACTAAAAACATCAGTGTGTCCGCATCAATTATCCTACCGGTCAATGTACAGAAGAACAGATGGAGCTGCCATCCTGCTGAGACAAAACTGAACAACAAGATATCTGGAAGCTGAGAATCCAGAAAAAAGTGTAGAAAGTCTGAAGTCAGAGCTCTCCCTCAGAAAACGCTCCGTCCCCGGGTGTCCATGGTCCTACTGAGCCGCTCTGCTCGTGCTCAGAGGGAACGGATTCCTCCCGAGCGTCCCGCCTCTTTAACAAGGAGCTCCACTTCACACACGGGAGGGGAGGGACAGCCCGGAGGCCAGGCAGAGTCAGCAACGTGTCTTTGAGACGGGAGAAAAGATAAAGAGTGAAAAGGAAGGAGAGACCAAAAGAATGAACAAAAATAAAAGAGTGAGTGTGAAAGGCAGACGACCATTTAGATCAGGGTGTCCAACTCAAATTCACACTGGGCCTGATGGGTAAAAACGGACATTAACTTTATTCATGTCCTGACTGTTTATAACATCTGGTGTTTTAAATGAAGCTTCATCCATTCATTCTACTGATGAATAACAGGCCCTACAGGAAGGAGGTTTGGGGAGGTTTGACCATGCCCTGGTACCGGTCCTGGACGGTCCTCTTATCAGTACAACTCCCTTGAGAAAGTCCAGACTGCTTTGTTGATGTAGAAAAGCACCTGGTGTGTCTTTTATGGCCTCCTGCCTGAGAGTCTAAAATGTGTGTGTGTAATCTTGTGTGTGTGTGTGCTTACCCAACAGGGCCAAAATGAAAAACTGGGACGGAGTCGCAGGCCAAACTCAATAGTTTATGTGCAGATTTTCCTTTATCTACAGACTTGAACGGTTGAACCTTTTCATTTGGAAACAAACACTGAATGTGGAACAACCACATTACACACGAGCAAGTCCATTTTAAATAAAGCATATCAGTGGTATTCATTACTTATGTCTCCGTATTTTAAAATATTTTATTCCTTAAAATCTGCAAATATTCAGCATTTCTTCTTATTTTTTATCTTTTGAATCTTTTAAGTGTTTCTATGTTGTTTTCTTGTTTATTATTTATTGTTTACTTTCCTTTGTTGCTCCTGTAATGAATGTAATTGCTGCTGTGACACCAAGATGTCCCCACTGAGGAACAATAAAGGGATTTTCTATTATATTTCTATTCTATTCTTCTACCTGTAATCTGTCCTGTAGGTGAAATCTTTTTTCACAGGCCAACAACATAAATAAACGATAGTAATTCTCTTAAATTAAATGCAATATCTCACCTATTAACTTTCATGCTTTGGAGCAGAAAAGGTTAATAAAAGCAAAATAATTCAATCCCAGTTTTCTCCACTCTGATTTCCTGTGAGGCTCACCTGTTCCAGCCGGACCTGCACCTGTGGGGTCGGGCTCTGAGCCGAGGAAGGAGTTCATCAGTGAGAAACAGTTGCTCACACAGGTGTGTGCTGCTGGACATGGAGAGCATCTGGACCACGCAGTTGTGTCGGGGAGGGGATAAAAGCCGCAGCAGCCACAGAGTCATGTGACTTGAGCGTGTCACTAAACGGGAGTTAAATCATCTCGGTCAGGAAGGTCGGTGTGCTTTCTATGTCAGCAGCAAACATCACTGAGCTGTTAAAATCCATTTCTGGGCTTCAAAGTCGGCTAGTTGCTGAGTAAACGTGGCGCTGAGTAAGAGGAGTGTTCTCAGTTTGTCCGAGGCAGAGGAGGCAACGCTGGCGACGCTGATGCTAGTAGCATGGAAGCTAATGACAGTAAAGATAGCGGTATTTCTCCTTGAAGCATCAACATGTTCCATCTTTGTTGGAACACCTTCCTTCTGCATCGATCTTTCTCTTCCTGGACATTTTGGGATGATGTGTGGAGTTATTTTCACTTGTTGCATTAATTAAACACGGAAGTGGATACGCTGCGACCTAGTGGCGAGTCACTGCACTGGGAACAACCCTTCGATCCCAAAACACAACATATTCATGTTCTACTCACACACTACGACTCGGCCATGTTTCATTATCCTGAAAACTACAGCTCCACACTCCTCCCACTCAGAAAGGAGACGGTCCCCGTTTCACGCTCTACTGATCTAAGAGTTTCACACCGTCGGGGTTTGCCCTCACCGTTCTTCTGCTTTAAAACACACCAGAACCAAGTGGAACATTCTCCTGCAGATTTCAAAATAAAAGTTTTTCTGATACAAGAGCCAACTGCCGTAGTTGGACCACCAGAGGAGCACTCTCTCTCATTTTAAGGTGGACCCTGACTGAATGTTTACAACAAACTAGACGTCTGCTTGTTTAGAGTTTACTTTGGCAACTGGACTTTTGGCCTAAAACATGTTTAAAAGTCAAAGGTCCTACAGGAACCTACTCATCGCTAAATTCATAACCAACTAACTCGTTTGTTCTGAAACTCGACGACATGATTTAAAAGTGTCCAAACGAGGAAGCCACTTAACTAAATATCCTTTAACTAGATCCTGGGTCACTAAAATTAGCCAAATATTTGACCAAAGTTTGCCGACAGTTAAGAGGATTATCCTCTAAATACTTGATTTTAATTTCTAAACTATCTGTTCATAATTGCAGCAACAGGTTTATTGAAACTTTTCTTCCGTCCAACATAAAATAAGGAAAGTGTTTTACTCCACGTGACCGTGGGGGTGGCCACAGCAGAAAGTGGAATGTGGCGAAGCAGTGAGAGGACACGCAGGTCGGCCTGATGGTGTTTCCATAACGGCATCATGTGATCAAAGTCACAAGCGAGTTTAAACGCCTAACAAACAAGAGGAGAAAAGCACTGAAGCTACAAAATAACGGCACGTCTGAAACCACCACAGCAGAACCCGACCTTGTGTTTTACCCCTCGTGTCTTTATTATGTAAACCTTTCTTACGGAGACCAAGACCCTGTCAGGTTGATCAATGGGCTCGAGAACAAGGGGAATAAAGGTTTGGAAACACTCAGAGCTAGCCAACTGCTGCCTCACTGCTCTGGTTTTATGAGGGCGCCTACAGCTCCAGTTCCCTGGCTAAGATGGTGACACGCTGAGGGGCCGGGTCATTTAACATGCTTGTGAGAGTATCCCTAATAAAGTGACACGGACTGCAGTAATACTAATGTTCTGCAAAAGGACGAACGACAGAAGTCACTCAGTGGAAGAGCTACAGGAAGGGTTACAGACACGGCTAAGGGAGGTTTGTGCAACAACGTTAAGCAACGCCAACTCTCTCTGCCTCCCCGAGGGGACCTAAAGGCTGTTTGTCGTCACCTTTTAGAAACTCTGACGTCCGTAATCTCGGTAGGGATTTAAAAAAAAAGGGATACACTGAAATATCCCAATCTTCACATCCGACACTAAAGCCATGTTTAAAAGCAGTGTGCCGATTTATAATTGAGAATACACACAAACATTTACCGTGTTTCTGTGTGCAGCACAGCTCTAACTCCGACTGCTAGGTGGCAGCAGCTTTTCCTGACTTCCATTTGACGGATTAACGAGATCCCGCGCTAACACCAGACGTGCCTTGGCCCGAGGTTTTCAATTACCGGTTAATTTAACCTTAGAAATGGTAAATCTGGCTTTTGGCATTGAATCACACCCTAACACCCGATTACTGCCAACACAACCACCCTTCTTGTTTTACTCAGCTGGACACCAGGTTCATGACCTGCTGTGTAACAGATGAACACAGACATAACCAGCCAGTTCTGGTCTGCAGGCATGATGCACTCAGAATTAGGACTGGTGTCATTTCAATGTCCATTAAACAAGCAGTGCTTTTATTGTGAAGGGTTGTCACAGGAAGTTATGTATCACGTAAATGTTCACTCATTAACTCATTCGCTGCCAGCGTTTCTCACCGTTTTTACTGTTTTTTTAAGAGTCACAGAACGTTGCGCGCTAGCATGATGTCGACGCCAAAACAACGAAACAAAGCGGAGACTCACCTCTTACATCAGGAAGAATCCGTGTGTCTCGAGCGTTATCCGTTCTTTCATAATCCGTTGTTGAATTGTGATCGGCAGAAGCTTTTCCGGCTTTTTTACAGCAGCGGCCCAAAACGATCTCCTAACACATGGATGTTCTGCTTCCTGATCACGTGACGTGTGACGTACGCGGATGAAGATCGGCTTTAGAGCTGAGATCAAATCAAATCAAACTTTATTTATAAAGCACTTTTCCTGCATAGGATGCAACACAAAGTGCTTGACAGATTAAAATGACCCATAAAACCCACATTCCCTCCCTTTCCCACACTTAAAACGTCTGTTCTCACGGTGCGGGGGCTCGTTCCAACGCCCACACGGTGAAAAGATGCCAACGATGACTTTAGTCGTCATTTGCAGTGATTGAGTTAATTGTAATGTGAAGCTGTTTCAAGGCTAACGTTAGCCTACTTAGCTTTAACTGCAGCATCACAAGCTGAAGCTCAGATCCATGTTTCCTTCCTGTCATTGTGCAGATGGAGACCATCTTAAAACAACACGACGTTCAACTACAGATCTGGTCTGCTGGCCTGCCTGTTTCAGTTCTTGTGAAACAGCAGCTTTTGACTCAGAACCTTCAGGTCATGATAAAAGCTGTTTTCCTAAATCCGTCAACACAAAGGCGTTCATGCATAAAGCAGGACACGCCCACTTCTTCCTAATGAGACACAGCACCGTGAACTGACCTGTTGAACAAACTCGCTAGAGGTCCCAGTCTCTTCAACTTGCCATCTTCTTGTTGAACGATCCCCGACCCAGAATGCACTTGTCCTGGACTCCACGGGTCTCTGGGGTTTCTGGGTGACGACAGCGTCACATCTGAGAAGTGAGTCGAGCTGCTGTGATCCAACTCAAAGGTAACGACGGCGCTGGAGTCAGAGGTGACGGTAAAATCTAGGACGTCTTCATTGGAGACGGACAGCTCCGTGCTCATGCTCGACACGCTGCACACGGACATATCATCACTGCGGTTCAAGGCTCCGCCTCCTACACCCAATCCAGGGGTGGATAGTCTGAGGCCGGGGCTGAAGAGGCGGATGGAGTCGTAGCCGCTGCGGGGAAAAGTGGATGACTTGAGTGTGCCCTTGCTGCCAGGTGGATCATCGTCCAGCGTTAAGGTGGCTGGTGAGTCCCGGTTCATGTCCAGCATGAGGCCCCCATCGCCTGGCTGTCGGTGGATGTGGAGGATGGCGTCTGGAGGGTGGACCTCTAGGGTGGGGATTCCTGAGTCCTGAGAGGTCAGACTGCTGCGGTCCAAGTCGGAGAACGTTTTCTGGGGGCTGCAGTAGATGGGAGTGGAGGAGCAGGATGGTTTGTAACTAGGAAGGGCGAGCTCACTCAGGGACGTTGCACTGGGCTCACTGGTGGCGTCACTCTGGAGGTTAGAGGTCATCGGTTCTTTGCCTACGAAGCCATTCTCCATGATAACTCCTCCAGACACACCTGTGAGGTATAGAAGTTTACATTTCCAAGACTTCTCCAACAGCTTTTGTTTCACTAAAATAAATCTGAATAAAAACCTAAAAGGATAACTTAAAGCAACAGAAAACACCAAAAAGTAAAGCAGCTCCAGAGAACAGATGAGGCCAAACCAGGAACATGTAGCTGTGCTGCAGTAATCCTCGCCCATTTCACCCATTAACACCAGTTTCCTGAACTAAACGGCCAGTTCATGCATCTAACCTACCAGTAACACCAGAGAGATCCTATTAAGTCATTATGAAGCCAAGCGTCATAAAACCCACACCATGTGTTCTAGTGATGTAAACAATGTTGTTTACATTCATCTGAATTAAAGTGTCAGAGCTTCACCACTAAACACATTTCACACGGCGGGGCGTCAGGAAACTGCAGCTGGAGGCAGCAGTAGCCCAGGAGGGAGAGCGGCGTGTCCAGGAATCGGAAGGTTGTAGGGTCCATCCCGGCTCCCAGCAGCGAACGCTGCTGTTGTGTCCTTGGGCAAGACACTTCATTCACCTTGGCTGCTGGTGGCGGTCGGAGGGACCGGTGGCGCCTGTGCTCGGCAGCTTCACCTCTGTCAGTGCGCCCCAGGGCAGCTGTGGCTACAGTGTAGCTCATCATCACCAGCGTGTGTGAGAATACATGTTTGTGTTGTAAAGCGCCTTGGGGGGTTCTAGGACTCGTCTCTTGTGTGCTCCAAGTCATATTTTGGTCATTTTCACCTGAACTTAGTTTTATACAATTTATCAATATGTGGAAAAATTCAAACAACAAGAAAACTTTGTGAGGTGTTGGTTTGTTAAAGGGAGACTGGGCAGTTCTGGCTTGCTTTTAGCACCCTCTAGTGTCTGTTTGAAGAACCGAAAGCAAAACTTGTCCCCTCACTGTTCATTCGTCTTTTTAACACATTAATCTAACAGCTGAAATGTCTCCTCAGTCTTCTTTAGTGTCTACAGAAGTGATTCATCACTAAATTCAGGGTATCTGCAGGTTTAAGGGAGCCAAATTTAAGACTTTTTAAGACCTTTTTTAATGCCACTTTGACCTAATTTAAGCTCGTTGTCGTCTTCCTCCGCTTATCCGGGTCCGGGTCGCGGGGGCAGCATACCAACTAGGGAGCTCCAGGCCGTCCTCTCCCCGGCCTTGTCCACCAGCTCCTCCGGCAGGACCCCAAGGCGTTCCCGGACCAGGTTGGAGATGTAACCTCTCCAGCGTGTCCTGGGTCGACCCGGGGGCCTCCTGCAGGACATGCCCGAAACACCTCCCCAGGGAAGCGTCCAGGAGGCATCCCGACCAGAAGCCCAAACCACCTCAACTGGCTCCTTTCGATCCGGATCCAAATTTAAGCTATTTTTTTAATTAAATTTAAGCTATGATTTCCAGCTATTGCCTGGAACCGGTGCTAACCACGTCGCGAACGTGGGATTAACCATACATTTACCATTAAACTTGCACTTCTCCATGGCGCAAGCTCCCACTAGCTTAACCAGCTAAAGCCGGGCGTACACTGTGCAACTTTTTCACTTTTTTGAGCCGATTTTCCAGTCGTGCGAGAATCCACGACATCGGGGCGAGTTTTGCGCCGAGCGGTCGTGTAGTGTACAGGGGGTTACGAGAGGCGATTAACACCACGTGACCAGCTGCCGATCAGCAATCGTGAGGTCGCACGGACTTCTGGCGTGTTTAATATTTCGCTCGTCCCTCGTGAGGGTATCGCACTGTTGAAGCGGCGCTGCGAGCAGCTGCGACCCAAAAAGTATCGGAACCGCTCACGGCGCATGCGCAATCCTGCATCAACACCGCTCCCCGCTATTTCCCTAATAACACACGCTGTTCGTTTTTATTTCTACACGTTTTTTTACTCACAAAGATGGTCAAGAAAGCGTGTTTGTCGTGTTCATGTCAAATTAAACTGATCACAAAACACAGATTTACTTTCTTTATTTGGTTTTCCTCGTCCAACCCCCATAAATCCCTGTGTGTCCTCCTGCAGCACTCCCGAAGGACAACAGGCAAAACAAGACAAAAAAGTCTGACGTGTTGAGTAAAAACTGCTATTTTAGCATATTTTTAGGGCCGACGTGTTGCTACCAGACGTACAGTGTGAGCAGTCAGGTCGCATGCGAGAACTGGGTCGTAAAGTGTGAGCACACGACTCGTGAGATCTGCTCTGCGAGGAAGTCGTACAGTTTGAGCTGAAGCTGAACGCTGCGAGTGGAAAAGTCGCACAGTGTACGCCCGGCTTAATGTGCTCATCTAAAAATAGTCCCCTTTCACAACCAACTGAATGTGTACGGTTCCACTTGCGCCAACATCGTACACAAAAAATGCTTAAGACTAACTAGAAATTCACGAAAATGTCATAGAAATAAAATAATCTAGTTTATTGGGTCTTTGGTAATTTAAGACCTTTGGAAACAGTATTTAAGGATTATTTGTAATTTTTAAGGATTTTCAAGGCCTTAAATTTGGAAAAGTAAATTAAAGACTTTTTAAGACTTTTTAAGGACCCGTGGATACCCTGTAAATTAAACAAATCAGCTGTGTTCATGATCTAAAACAGGCAGAGAACATGCTGGAAGCAGACCAACAGGGCCTGGCCGGTGGTGGGGGTCTGCGCGACATTTCATTAACCCTGTAAATGTTCATTTGAGCACATGCACCTTCAAGAAAATAATTTAAAACGTGAAAAAGGTGCATAGTATGCCTTTAATTTATTAAAGTCTCATTTGTTTACATACTACTGCAGCCAGCCACTAGGGGGCAGTCATGTTTGACTTAAACTTCAGACTTCTGTTTGAAATGGTCTATAAAATACATGAATACATCAGTAATGCACCACTAAAGCAAAGATGAAGCTGTAGGAAGCCAAACAGCAGTGTACTATCTCAGACTGGGGTGCAATCACCTGCACAACACCTGCCAAAAACTCCTGGACAGGATTATCTTGTTTTATTTGGAAACATTCACCACAACTCATGCTTGGAGCGACACAACAACAGAAGTCCAAGCAGGTTGGGCAGCTAAATGATTTTAACAAGAAAGCAATAAAATTTCTCTTGAGTTTCTGGGCTTTTGTGAGAACTCTGAAGTACGTGTGCATGTGTGAGACTCTTATTTTGAAAAAACTGAGTTTTACTGTGGAAGTTGTTGAAGGAGTAAAGAGTGCACATTAGACTGAGTCAAGCCTCTGCTCCTTCTGCGTGGAACGGGCTGCAGGAAAACTGGAAATTAACAGAGTTTATCTCCTTGACTACATTTAAAACCAGACTCAGGACCATTGAGACGGGTTCCCCGTGTTCTAACTGCCTTCTGTGATTTAGTACATAACGTGTCTGTGTAACAGAAAAACTTGTAACTGTAACTTTTGCTGCGTCTTGACCAGGACTCCCTTCAAACTGAGGTTTTTAATCTCAACAGGACCTTCCTGGTTAACTGAAGAATTAGGAAAATACATCTGTGTTGGGCTCTTTTTCTTTGCGTCATCCTCCCGTGACTCCAGTGCCGTATAGGACACGGGCTCCATAAGCTTTGCTTTGATGGGGGAATTTAATCCCCAGTAACCAGGCTGTAACTGGACTCTGGAATGTAATGTGAGCAGAGTCGGGCCCCAGAAGGGAGGCATTGTCCTTTTAACACCAGCTGGACAGCAAAGATACAGGTCCGTGGGTCTGGTTCCAACAAAGTAAAGGCAGAAGAAACCACGCAGTTTAAATCAAAATCAAATACACTCAACCTGGAAGGCCAAGTGCTTCCTAGATCAGGGAATTCCTTCCCAGCTTTAAACCCTGAACCTGCAGGGTGTCACACGAGTCCTAAAACTCACCTCCTGTGCAACCAGAGGTCACATCAACTGGTTATTAATGTCTGTTTGCATTTCAGATTAGTGTGTGAATGAGGAGAATTTAAAGTCACACGAAGGGAGGCTGCCAGATCCACCATCATAGCCTGGCTCTGAGTCATCCAATCACTACTAACCTGACACACCTGACAAAACTCCTCCCCTTTATGAAATATGATGTTTGAGCTACTAACACAACCTGATGAGCATCCAAACGCATTAATATTTATCCTGCTTATTAATAACAAACTAATGCATGATCTCAGCTAACTCAGGTTATGGTGATTAAATCACGAATGTTACTTTTTTACAAGTCATTTGGGGATTTAAATGCATGCCGAATTTCAGAGACGCCATTAAATATCACGCCTGTGCGCGGGCCATGTCTGAATAAGCTGGAACGTGTAAACTAGAGGAGGACGAGCTTAATTCTGACTTTATTAAACGCGGTTTGGTGTGACGTAAGGTGACCAGAGAGAAGGGCACAAACAGTAACGGTGTTAAAGTCAGTTAATCCTAACTAACAGAGAGGAGAGGCGTGGGTGACGGACGCCTACCGCAGCGGCTGTCCCTCTGCTGGTGCTGGACGCCGCGGTCCGTGCTCGCCATGCCGCCGCCGGGTGGACGCTACAGGTGGGTTCCAGGTAGCCGCCGCCCGGAGCGGTCCATGATGATGCTGAGGCTACTGCAGCAGCTTCTCCTCCGCGGCTCCTTAACGCAGCTCAACAAACGGAACCAGAGTGGGTCACATAAAGTCGCTGTAAGAGACGGAGGCGGCTGATGAACACCAACACATCTCTCTTCCTCCTCAGCGGCAAAGTGCACTTGCTGCTGACGCCACCTCAGGCGCTTCCTCGAGTGGAACCGACTTCAGTTAAAACCCGCCAGACATCTTTATTTACCTCTCCAGCACCAAGAGAGCCGCGGAAACTTCCATCTGCTTAGCGAGTTACGAGTAAAAAGCTCGTTGAAACCCTAAAGTAAACATTTCATACCTGTTTCGTTGATTGCGCCGCCATTTTAAAACAAACTTATACGTGGAGTATGATGCAATCGAGTCCAGATCGACAGCCCTCGATGGATTTACCTGTCTGGACCTGAAGGCATCAATAATCGACCTGGCCACGCGCTGGATTGCTAAGAAAACGGCAGGTGTGAAACTGCAAGACTTTTTCAACAACTATAAAATATGCAATGCTTCTAAATATATTTTGTTTCCTTTAACAGCACTCAGCAAACATTTTAACAACAAAAAATCACAAAAAGTTGATCAAATAGGTGTCCAGATTGGGGCTCGCAGGCCATTTACGGTCCTCAGTGATTTGGACAGCTGCCCCTTTGCACGTGACGTCATGCCACTCATGGGACCGCCCCATTTGACCTGATGGTTGACAGAAAGACCGTTTACACACGTTAACTCCTGGGAACCCGGTCAAACAAGCTCGTTTGTAGCCTTTATTACTTTTATTTGGTTGATTTCACGGTAAAATAGTAACCGTTTATTTATTTGGTGTGATAAGTGTTGGCGTTTAGAGAAATCTTGTCTCTCCCAGGTGTGAGTGTAGCATCTGAACCTGGTGACCACCAGCATCAGAAACTGGCAAGGTTTTGGACTATTTTAGTTTTTTTTTTTTTTTTAATCAAATCCAGCAGGGTAAATACATTCTGGCAAAGTCAGCAACTTGTTTACATTGGTAAACAGCAGCAGGGAGAATGTAAGCTAACATTTGTTAAAACATAATTTTAGTAATTACTGCTCCCCACGAGTGAACTGGGCTTTAACTAGTAGATAGCAGACTCACTCACCAGTTTTCCTCTCTGTTCAACACTCCTGAAATTCACTGTTGCCCCACCTAGGTGCACTATTTGTTTGGATAACTGAACTGGGCTTGAACTAGCTGAAGCCATGCTAAACATCGCATTAAAAAAAACTCAGGTGCTCCTTTTCCCTTTGCTTACACCTGTTTCACTCACTGCTTTTGCCCAATATTCAGACAATTTCAGACCCATCTCTAAACTTCTGTTCATCTCCAAGATCTTGGAAAAGGTTGTGGCTAAACAACTCACAGCTGCTCTTGATGAACATAACATCTATGATAGCTTCCAGTCAGGTTTTCGTAGAGCTCATTCTACTGAAACAGCTCTTCTTAGGGTCTCTAATGACCTTCTGACTCACAGTGATGCAGGGTTCTGGTTCTGGTCCTGCTGGACCTGACTGCAGCCTTTGACACTGTTGACCATCACCTGCTACTGGAGAGGCTGAGAGACTGGGTAGGCCTATCAGGATCTGCTCTGGAGTGGTTCTCCTCTTATCTCTCTGAGCGCTCCTTTTCTGTGGCCGTCTCCAAGTTTAGGTCCTCCACCACCTCTCTTACCCATGGTGTCCCACAAGGTTCTGTGCTGGGGCCTCTACTCTTCCTCCTCTATCTGCTTCCTCTTCAGCACATCCTGAGCTCCTTCAAAGGAATCTCCTACCATCTTTATGCAGATGACATCCAACTGTACATCTCCTTTAAGCCCCATGAGATGTCTAAGCTGCAGACTCTAACAAAACCTGGATGGTGGGAGCTTTCTTCAGCTGAATGAAGATAAGACTGAGATCCTCATCTGTGCCCCAGACAAGCTGGTTCCCAAAGTCAGAGACTCTCTTGGTCAGCTTGCTTCCCACACCAAACCTTCTGTCAGGAATCTTGGTGTGACCTTTGACCCAGCTCTCACCCTGGATTCTCATGTCAGTTCTCTTGTTGGCTCTTCCTTCTTCCATCTCAGGAACGTTGCTAAGCTGAATCCCATTCTGTCCCGCTCTGAACTTGAGACAGTTCTCCACACCTTCATCTCCTCACGCTTAGACTACTGTAACTCTCTTTTCACGTGTCTGAGCAGAACCTCCCTGAACGTCTACAGGTGGTTCAGAACGCCTGTGCTCGGCTTCTGACCAAGTCCTCCAAACACCCCCACATCACCCCGCTTCTCCTCCAGCTTCACTGGCTGCCAGTCAACTTCAGGGTTCATTTCAAGATCCTGGTTCTGGTCTACAGGGCCTTACATGGACAAGCACCATCTTACATTGGTGATCTTCTTAGTCCCTACACCCCCAGCAGGTCCCTGAGGTCCAGTGATCAAAGCCTACTGGTTGTGCAGCACCAGGCTAAAGGTCAAAGGTGACAGATCATCTGCTGCTGTGGCCCCCAGACTCTGGACCTCTCTCCCCCTGAGCCTGAGATCAGTGGACTCAGTGGTCTCCTTTAAAAAGCAGCTGAAGACTCACTTGTTCAAGCTGGCTTTTGTATGACCTTCTCCACCTCTCTCTTTATTCTGCTCTCCCCACCTATTCCACCTTCCTCAGGATCCACTGGTTTCCCTCTTTCCTGTTCACTCAGCCTGGCAAGCCAGACTAAATAAATGTATTATTTTTGCAAAGCAAGAATTTGGTCTAGTTCACTAGGCTAGTTCACTCTCTCTCTTTCTTAAAATTTTTGATCACAATAGTCTATTTTTGCAAATTTTAAATATATTTTTAAACATTTTCTAAATTCTTTTTTATATTTTTAAATTTTTTGTGAAGCGCCTCATGATTTTTATCTTGAGACGCTATAGAAATGATATTTTCTTCAATATGGCGGACCCACGTGATTGGGTGTCATAGATGGAATTTTGTTCTTGCTTTCTATATATTTATTTTCTTTTAATGTACAAAAATGAGACCTAGTTAAGGTCAAACATACATTTAGGTCATTTTAAAATGGAAACAGTGCTAAGTAGATTTTATTTTATAGGTCATGTATTTTGGGAAAAGTGCTTTAAATTGTAATCATTTAATTAGTGAAAATAATTGTCAGATCAGATTTGTTTGTTATTCTAAAGAGCCGGACTGTTGAGGTCCTACAAAGAATAAAACTCCGGTTTCTGGAGGTTCATTTTGACTGTTTAGTCAACACTGAACACATTTTGTTTTCTACATATTTATTAACAAACATCGATTATTTTTAACCTCCTGAGAACTGGACTTTGTTTCATTTGCTATTTTTAAATTGAACATAAAAATGTTTGAAATATAAAATTTTGTTAGACCAAATTAAAAATAAAACCAGGTCTCCCTAAATAAAGGGTTTGTGTAATGTCAGGAATGTAAAAGCAGCATCCAGTTCAGAAATGAATCCATTAACATTTACAAACTGGGAAGTAAAAGTAAACTGAAATACACAGAAGTCCTTATTTAAACCCACTTCTCCCAGCATCCCAACTCCTCTCTAGTGCCACCATGAGTTCTTTAAGATCAACAAACTCTGAACAAACGTGTTGAGGTTTGGTTTATTCCTTTATTAGATGTTAAGAAAATCCACAACGAAACAAAATAAATTACTCAGGGTGTGCATGAAATCAGAACAACTACTGGGGACAGGTGGGATCCAGGAGCATGGGGGGTGGCGGGAGGGAATGAGAAGACCAGGAAAACTCATGTCGTCAGCGATTATGTTCTTCAAAACACGTCAGCATCTGTCTGAAAACCTTCACGGGAACATATTTGCTCATTAAACATGTTTGGTTTTCCTTTTATTTTGAAACAAGCGATCAAAATGGAAGAATCGAATGGAGTAAAATGCAATCACGCACGCACGCGCACACACACACACGCACGCGCACACACACACACACACACACACAGATTTAACCTCAACTTTGTTTAAAACTAAAATGCGTCTAACTGAAAACATGGGAGTGTGGAGTTTGCATGCTTTGTTTCTCAGAGACAGCCCGTGGTTCGTCCCCGCTGGCCTCCCGTCTGCGTTTACTCTTGAATGTGCCAAAGTGTTGCATAGATCTCAGGGCTGTAGCATCCCCATCACACTGCTTATGCATCTACGATGGCTTCTTTAGTTTCCATGACAACTATAGCTCTACGTTAATGACAGCCACCTCAGAGGTTAGCCTCAAAAGAATTAAACAAGAACAACAAACATTAATGCATCAATACAACGTCACAGGTCTGAGTGTAGCATGTCTTAAAAAATTCCTGAGTTTCCGACTGTCGAAACAAAAGGGGGACGAGGACCTGAAGCTGTTTCATTCCACGATCTGGGGATTTATTTTTTTTTCATTATGTTTTTTTAAAAGATGCATTAGCCTAAATAAGTCTTAGGCTGCAACAATCTCTGCACATTTTAAAGCAGAAGCCATTTCCCAAAGCCATGCCCAAAGTAGATCCCTACACCTGCGACAGCAAAACTCATCCGTCACCTGTGAGTGGTGCTGAACGGCCCTCTGTCCTCTCAACGCAGCCCAAAACTGATGTTTTCAATTAAAAAGATGACCCAATGACATTTTTACATTCTAATGCAGGTGTCTGAGGGTTTTTGCTGCTCGCGTATTAAAGGATTTACGGCAGCATGCGCGTTCGCCGCCTGGTGAACATCCGGTTGGGAGTCGCGTCCGTCTGAGATAAAAGTTCAAGACTCAAACCAAACCCGAGTCTTCACAGGCTCCAAGTCACACACACACATGCACACGCACGCGCCAAAGTGTGAGACATTAAACCAATAATTCAACAACATAAACAACAAACAAACATGCCTCATGTGGAAAAGCAACCTAAGTAGTTACGGGTAGTTTGGGTCGGATGTCTGCCCAGTAACAGTTGGTGATCTCATCTCTCTGAACAAGAAGGTCTTTTAAATGTCTGATTTAAATATCTGAAGGTCCAACTAATCATGAGATTACCTTAAAATAAACAAAGCAAGTCACTTTAAACCAAAACTTTTTTTCCTGTTTTTTCTTTTTTCAAAAACGAATTTCAGGAGCCAGAAACAGAACGACGTGTTACCGAGCTGCAACTCCACACGATTATTCAGAAAGGTGTTGAGCTGAAAGACGTGTCTGTAGCAATCTGAGCACAAGTGTAGACCTGAAGAACCTTCAGTCGTGTTTCTGAACCAAATCTCCTGCAGATTTATGTTTTTACACACCGGTAGGCTTCTGTTAAATAAATGTCCCCACAAAACTTTGATTTCTGGTATTTGATGCTGAAAAGTTTCACTTTAGTCTCACAAACCACAAGATTTCTACTACTAACCTCTGAAAGACTCACCATTCAATAAACCTTTTCACACACAGGGAAGTTACGGATATTTAGAAGGAAGCTGCACACGTTCTCTGCTTCCCTTTCAGAATAAAATCCAAACAAAGGCTTCTGGTCAACACTCAACTCAAAAACCTCAGCGCCCTCGTCTTTCTGAGCTTAAGGTGGCGAATAGAGACGGTGATATCCGTCGTTTCACACAACATCGGATCCAACTAGCAAAAGAGTGGGACTGGCTGGACGAACACACATGCACAACCATTCAGACGCCAGCGACCACCAGAACCAGGGGCTCAAACTCTAAACGGTGGAACGAAAACGGACGAGGACAGAAGGAAACGTCGTCTCTACAAGCTAACTGAGAGCTCTGGAAGGTGTGCAGAAGAATCATGGCATCACTCAAAAGACAGAACAGGTATTTTCTTTTTGGAGTATTTCTACTTTCACTCTTTTTGTTGATCCGACTGATTACACGAGGTTGTTTTTAAGTTAGTAAATGAAAAACCAACAGGGTTATGCGTTGGGGTTTCAGAAAACGAGCCCACGCTAGGTTAGCCGGCTCTGAGATGAACCCTGAATCTTTGCTGGTAGAGGTCCAGTCCCAAAAGCAGAGGAGGCTTTCCTCCAGCGACATGCATCCGCTGCACAGCCGGAGACTTCAGATGTTGCTGCTCCCTGAGGGTGAGGAGAACAGCAGCCAGGTTAGAGTCCACGTGGTTCTGACTCTGATGGTAGATGCATCTGATAGTTAGGAGTGCTGTGATGCAGATACGATTTTTTTCTTTTAGACTAAAGACGAGATAACATTTTTAAAATAAGCTTTTTTTTTTTTTTTTACTATTTTTTGCAGTGCAGACGCTCTGGAGTGGGTAAACTCCTAAACCACCTCTGTCTAGTTTACATCCTACAGGACTGATAAGCTAAAGGCTAGTCCAAGAGCAGCAAAGCGTGTTACTGCCATCTTTAGAGTGGACTAGCAGTTCATAACCTCAATGAATCAGCGGTTATTTACATGGATTCTGTGGTTGTTCACGTGCATGAACATCATCAGCTGTAGCTACATGTAGCTCTTCTGGTGAAACCAGAGGTCCACGCTGCCAAGTTGGCCTAGATGTTGTCAGAATAGCCAGTAGCTCATCTATCCTGTGGGACTGTTGTCTACTGAAGCAGCACTATAGAAATGAGCCTAAAGCTCTTTCAGAGTAACACCTGTGAGCATCCTAACAATCATTCTCCAGTGGAGTAGATCTGAGTTTAGTGAGCTGTACGTCTCCTCCACCATTCCAGTAAGGCTCTGGAGGCGAAAGAGCAGCTCTGGCTTTAGACACGTACCTGCACACTGAGATCCAGGGAACAGGGGGGAACACACCGTGTTCTGCCACCAGCACTCGTCCTGCTGGTTGCCCCTCCCACCCTGTCCACTTAGGTTCAACAGAGGAAACTAGACCAGACAAACAGGAAATGGTTAGAGGAAACCAGTCATCTGACACACCACGAGCAGGAGCCTTGCTGTTGGTCTCAAAGTGAGCAGAAGTGGATCTGAAGCCGGTCGGGCTCTTACCTCTGGCACATCGCCCACGTAATCATAAGCGATCCCATACTTGGGGATCTGACCAGCTGGTGAACATAAACAGGACTGCTTTTCTCCCGACGTCTCTTCTTTCTGAATCTTGCCGACGTCCGCCTGTTCACCAGCGCTCGATGATGCGGTCGCCGACTCGCAGTTTAAGCAACTTTCCTGCTCAGCAATTGGCAGAAGGGTACTAGGACCCTCCTGTGAATCCAGAGAGGTCTGGGCACTCTTCTCCATGCCAGACTTCTTCAATCTGGGTAAAAACTTCCCAGATTCCAGTTCCGACTTCCCGTAGTAAGGGCCCTCGCATTCTGCATCCTCCTCCAGAGGTTTGAGGTCTGCCTGAGGATCGTCAAACACATCCACCGGTGCCACCATGGAAAAACTCATCTCCTCTTTGTCAGTCTCCGTCTCCGAATCACTCGCTCCTCTAGGAGACAACTCTGAGGCTGATATCGGTCGGAAATGAGTCCTCGGGGAAATGCGGATGGCTCTATACTGTGTTCGGTTGAAGCCGTATATCCGTGAGTGGATGGCTTCACTCTCAGAGTCCGAACAGAGGATAGATTTGGGCTTGAATCCTGGACTGAAGGAAGCCATGTCCTCAGGCTCAAACGAACACTCCACATGGAGGACTTGAGAGAAGGGATTGTTCAGATTCAAGGATGCAAACGGATACTTCAAACCCTGCTCCTCACTACGCCAGCCTCTGTAAGATCCAAGTAAATCTTCATGGAAGATCAAAGAGAATCCCTTATTCAATGCGTCCCCGCCTCCTTTACTGGCCTGATCGCTCTGCCCAAAGGAAACCAAAGGCCTCCACAGGGGCCGGTGCCCGGGGGCGAAGCGGCTGCCAGTGTTCATCAACACATCTTTGCCGGTGATGGTGAGCATGTCTGAGCTGGACACAGAGGCGGCGGCTGCGGCACACTGCAACAAGCTATCTTGAGCCTCACCTGGTGGCACAACAGCCCAATTCTTATCGCCGCTCAGCGTTTTCAGCTCTCCGTACACCCCTCCAAGGATGAATGATGTACTCTCCTTGTCGGAGCTCAAGTCCCAGGGCTTGGACGGAGTCATGTAATCCCCAGCAGCATCAACCTTGGAGGGTTTGTTTTTGGCTAAGCCCTGATCTTCTTTCTTGCCTTCCCAGAGGTGATACTCGGACCGCTGAACGGCTTTTTTCAGGGGTCCCTGAACCGGAACTTCTTTCGTCTGGACCTCTAGACAGTTGCAACAATAAGCGCCCGGCTCATCTGAGAAGAGCCCCTTGCCCTGCTTTTCTACCCCGTGCCGAGACACGGCAGACTTCTCATCTCCGATAGCAGTCCAAATGTCTTTTATTATCCCTGAGCTATAATCGTCACTCTGTTGGTTTGTGTTTTCCGAAAACATGCCAGTGTTGTACTGCTTACTCTCATCCTCTTCCAGTGCGATGCCGCACACCGACTCTAATTTGGACTTTTTGGTGAAGGTCTGGCTGGATGCTAAGCTATCGCTGCCCTTCTCACATGCTTTGCCAGAGTCCTCCTGTAAAAACTCTAAGATTTCACTTTCTAGATAAGTACCGGAGAGAGGCAGGATGGCCAAATTTGCCTCTTTGTTGCCAATTTGAGCAGCTTCCTCTGCTGGGGCGTTGCCCAGCTCGTTATCCGACCGGGTCTCCTCCGAATGGGACCACGGGCTGCAAGTTCGTGTTGATAGATTTGAACAGTGTTCTGTTTCATCAAAGGCACTATTTTTGGTCCATATTAGCAAGCGGGACTGTTTATTCGAATGCGGGTCGAGACAGCTGCTGGAGTCGGTGGTGTTTTCGTGACCGACGGTGATCGAGTCGTGGGGAAAGGGAAAAGTGGGACTGTCATACTGCAGCTCAAACACAGAGAAGCAGGATGAGTTCAAACCAGACGGGTCGCTGGTAGCTTCAGAGACAGGAGTCTCCTCCAGATGTTTGGGTAGCTTGCTAAGGGTCAGTGAAACACTGTCCAGAAGAGGGGAGAGCCGAACGGGAGACTCCGCCACGAAGCTTTCTCCGTCTACTTCCTCAGAGGTGGATGGTGAATAACATCCCCACATCTGAACCATGTTTTCCAGATCCTCCGTTAAAAACCCAACAGATCCTGAAGCTTCCTGTGAGCCTGCCAGTATTGCACTTTCCCCTTGCTGCTCAAGGCCGTCTAACACTAAACAACATTCTGCCTCAGCATCTCTTTGCTCTTTGCTTTTCTGTCGAATCATGCTTAGGATCCGACTCTCTTGTATCGCGTCTGAGGCACTAGTATCCAATATGGATTGATAAATGTCGACTTCATAGAAGTGAGTGAATTCGGACAGATGCTTGTCATCTAAATCTTTGCTATCCTCTGGCTGAGGGCAGCCCAAAGTTCTGGTGAGGTCAGCGGTTTCATGGTCGTCTGCTTTGCCAGGCCCTTCCACAAAGTGCCCATCTACAAAAGAGCCTGCTGCCAAGTAGGCTCTGTGGCAGCCTTCGGTGGCCAAGCTGATTCCCTGGATTTTCTCTGGCAAAGTCTCGATGTCACCCGACAAGCCCAACTCGTCTGGAGAGCCTACCTTACTTCGATATTTTGTTTCCAGCTTGCTTTGTCGGCTGTTGAATGGTACGAAGTACTCGGTGATGGGCTCCGTGTACCAAAGAGGCTCCTCCATGTACTCTTTCTTGTTTCTGACCTCCACCCCGGACTCTTTAGCTTCCGCCCAGCCTGGATCTTTACGAATCTCCTTCAGCGGTCTCTTCACCTTTTTGTAAAGCTGTGGTTGTTTGGCTGCACCGCCCATTGTGCTGCTGTTACGTGTTCTCTTGTTGTTTGTGGCCTCCCTGGATTTGTGCCTTATTCTAACTGCTTTGCTTCTGGAGGACTTCGAGTCGCCCTGGTTCCCACTCGAGCTGGAACCTGCCTCGCTAGAGCCAGAAGACGACGACCTGGGTCTGTACTTGCCCTCAGATCTGTGTCGAGTCTGTCTCTTAGAGTGACCAGTAGGTTTCCCTTCTGCCGCTGCACCGCCGTGGTATCGGTTTTCCTTCTCCTTCTTGCTCCTCCGCTGCAGGCCTCTGTCGCTGGTCACGGTAGTGATGGCGCCGCACGCCTCGAGGTTTCGCTCTTTCGTAGCTTCACCGTCGCTGTTGCAGTCTTTGGGGGAAGAGGTGTCTGTGCTGGTTTGAGGGGCTGCAGAAGACGAGGAGCTTGAATAAGCGCAGGCCCTAGCCTTATTCCACACCGTCATGATCTCTTGGAGACAAACAGGCTTCTCAGACAGAGGAGGAAAGGCTTCATAATACCTGCAGTCACAGGAGGAAAATATGACAAACTCCATCAAAACCCCGTAATACAAAAACATGAAATTGGTGTTCTGCAGTCACACATATTTATAAGTACACGGCTCTTACATTTCCACCTGGTCCTTCGTAGAGGGCGACTCGGCTCTCTCCGGAGACTGAGAACCATCAGATCTCTTCTGAATGCGCTTTTCTTCTGGCAAATAAATAAAAAGTACAATTTGTCATTAGAATTAGTACTTCTCAGTTCTACTAACAGTCTTACACGTTTAACATTTATTTTGATCAAAGGTATCTAAAGTCGTGGAAATTAGACGTGACCGTCTGTCGCTGCCGCGAATGTTCTCGCAACAACGTGGGTGAGTGACGGAGAGAGAGAGAGGCTGATTCTCCAGCAGCAAGTGGACTTGAAAGTGCGGCTTCACATTTAAAACACCGTTTGTGAAAACACGTTGGACATGACCGGCGTGTTTTAATACCGTCTGATGAAAAACGTGCGTTTTTCTCGCGGTGTTTGCACGGCTCCCCCTCCCTCTCCTGTTGCTAAACAAACCTGCACCTTTGCTCACAGGTGTCACCGGCACTGCCTATTGGAGCTACCGTAGCGGCCGGCCGCCTTTTTAGATGGGTCTCCATTCTCCCCCAGTGCATTCATTTCTACAGAGGAAGGTGCTTACCCAACTAAAAACACATTTTATCAAGCTTTTTCACAAAATCAGACATGGCATTATAAGTTGAATATAAATATAACTAAATAAAATAAATAAAAATAATTTTAAATATAAAATCAGGTAGGCCAGAAATGTCACTAGTAATATCAATAGTACACAGGTTGTTGGAACCCTAGGCTGCACAAAACATGGGCGTAGTTGCTCACTCTGCATTGCCTTTGGAGAGTCAGGAGACCCATCCAATATGGCGCTGTTACGCTCTCCAGCACCCAATATGGAGCCTAAGTCACACCCATCTACTTCCAGACCACGAGTCCCCGGAAAAACATAAATGAATGCAAGTCAACGGGGCTAAAAACGCCATTTTTGATTTGATTATGATGTCCATGAATTTTAAAGACACATTTTGGTAACAAGAACGCGCTTATTTTCTAATGGGGGAAACGACATTTTAGGTTTCATGTGAAAATAAGTCCAGGACTACAAATGTGCGAAAGTGACATCATCGAACCAGACACGGAGAAAACGGAGAGAAAAGGGCTGGAAGTTCAGTAAACGTCCCACAGGAGGACAGAACCACCATAGATCTGGTCATGTGGTCAGTAGCAGCTACGCTAGGGGGGGAGGAGCTTATCTGGTGATGTCACATATGAGACGTGCTGATGTTGTCATGCTAATTACGAACTCTTACAAGATGATAAATCTCAAAGAATGTGACTGGCGTGGTCGAAACACCCATCATTACTTTTCAGTTAAACTGCAGTACAGCATGTGTGTGATCCAGGGCGTGAGGCACAGCAGATGAGAAAATGGCCTTTTTAGCCCCGTTGACTTGCGTTCGATTTTTTGTTCTTCCAGGGACCCGTGAGCCGACCGGAAAGGGAGGAGACTTAGGCTCCCTATGGGGCGTCTACGTATCCACGTCTATGGTTACATCAGTATTCCGGGGTTAGGGTTCAGCTGTTAGTCATGTGCACTGGGGATGGAACGATTCACCGATCTGAACCGCTGGTTCGTTCATAACGTTTGCGAGGCGACGACGCCGGCAGCTTCAGGTTGCATCGGTTATACCTGACGGCAATATCGCCATGCATCTTTGCATGCTATGTCTTTGATTTTTGAGGCGCATTGAACACATCCGTCTCTTAGCAGAAGCTAATACAGACGAACTTGCTTCCTGTACTTGCCAAAATAAAACAAACTTCTCCGTGACACGGTGTCTGTTTGTGCAGCAGCATATTTTCCCGATCATCCTCACGGATCCGTGCACCTGAAGCTTGTGTGAGATCATTTCAGAAAACCCTGTGTTATTCGTGCAGGACTACAAAACTCCAGACAGAATGACATTTGCTCTCAACAGCGGTTCAGAGAAGTCCAATAAACAGCCAAGATAAACTCATCTCCCTGCACCTTTAGCATTCACTTCACTGCTAAAGGAACTGCAACAGCTCTCTCGATGACCCCTCATGGATCCTAATTACTATACGATGAACTCTACATATATACTTGTATTGCTACAATACTCCGTTTAAATAAGGGGGTGAGATGAGGTTTAGACAGTCCCTCTGCTCATGAAAATCAGAATCAGGACATTATTTAACATCACTGATGAAGTGCATTTGTTTTCATGTTGACTTCATTGATTATTTAAAAACTAGAGGATCAAATGGATCCTCCCCAGTAAGGAAAACATTGTGACGTTTAAAAACCAGATGTGGACTTCATAAATTCTTCATGTGCTGAATCATGAATTAAATTGAAAATCGTTTTCAAATCATGAATGACTCGCGAGCAGGGATGACTCGTATTGGCTCAGGGTTTCAGCGTATGGAATCGCTGCTGGCGTATGGGGATACGTATCGCATCGGCTTCACAGGTGGAGATTCACAACCCTAATGTGCACCATGCCTGCTTATGATCAAGTTGGGTTGCCTTTGATGTGATTAAATGTTTATTTATTTATAAATTTATTTAAATCAAGGCTAAAAGATTAAATTACAAAAAGCAAAAAAAGACGTATGCCAGACGTCGGTTCCCGATTTTAAGTTTTAGAGTCAGAAAGGGCAATCCCAACACATATTTCCAGTCCCTCAGCATTTTTACTCTGCTCTAATTACACACTCACACACACACTTCAAACCTGGACCAGGTTGTTCTGCACTGAGAGCACCTTAATGGCTTTAGCACCTGAGGCAGCAGTAGCTCCGGAGGGAGTCTGTCCTCAAATCAGATGGTTCTCTTTTCAAATCTGCCTCTAGATTAAAATCACAAGTTGCTTCACAGGAACAAAAACAATGAAAACGTATATATTTCTATGTCTTATGTGTGACTTATATAACTATATTGTGATTAACGCCGACTTGAAGAAAATTGTGAATCAAACCGAATAGAAAAATCGCAACTGAGTCTTTTCCTAAACTGGTTCAGCCCTGCAGCCCACGGTTGTAACCACCAGCATACTACAGAAAACAGATCAGGTGGGACGACTATTTACTTTTCTAGACCACCTGATGGGACTTTATTTTAATTTGTTTACATTTATTTTTTCGTTGATTATCATGCCATACCTTGGGTCAGATTTAATGAAAAAGCTTGATAAATGTGTTTTTTAGTTGGGCAAGCGCCTTCCTCAGTAGAAATAAATGCACTGGAGCAGATAGAGACCCATCCAAGATGGCAGCCAACCACTACGGCAGCGCTAATCCGTGGGGCGTTTGCATGTCATCAGTCGCACACACCATCTAGGACACCGCTGCAGACTACTTCTATTGTTGTGACGTTTGTGCCCTACAAAGAGGAGTCGGCCTGAATCAACGCAACGTTAAAACGTGAGAAAACGAAGTATTTTCTCAGCTTTAGGGTGAAGAACCAACCCGTAGCATCAAGACGGTCACAATAATGAGTTTAATGGGATTATCTGTTGTTTTGTAAATCCAGAGTTTGGACAGAAAAACAAGAAGATTAAACAGAAAGGTGTGACGTGTACAGAACTGTAAACAATAACTAAATAAAACAACTAGCATATCCAGGGACATGGACATATTTAGATCTTCTAGGTTGATGGCGGGAATCAAACCTTTCTGTTTGTTCTGGATGTCCTTAAGTTTGGAGCAAAGCTCTTCAACCAGGCTCTCAATTCCAGAGTTCTGCAGAAAGAGAACAAGAACAGGATAGAAGATGATTTTGTTTAGTAAGTATGAGTTTAAACATGATGCTGTACTCCAATAAGATGCTTGGTTTAAAAATGGATAGCTCCATCCTTGTGTTTGGACAGGATCCAGCATCAGACACTAAACAAAGTCAGAACTAAGAGTTGGTTTTTAAAGCTGAACCAGTCTGACTGACGGTGAAAGCTTTCGTAGCCTCAGGTGAGAGCGCTCCAGTGGCGACACAAAGAATTTGTGAAAGGCAGAAGGTTGACACACTTCAGCCCAGCTGACTCGTGAGAGTTCAGGCATGCTCGGCCGCGCTATTTTTAGCTGCAGCGCACAAACGCTTCCCAAAATAAAAAGGAATATGGTGAAGCAGCGGCAGAGTGATACACACACACACACACACACACACACACACACACACACACACACACACACACACACACACGCACGCACGCACACACACACACCATAGGTGATCTTGATTCACTACCAAACTAACTGAGCCATGTGGAGATCCGCTGTTAAGCCTGGTTCATGCTTCTCCGTCAGCTCCAACAGGGACAGACACGCACGGACTGACAGAAGCGTTTTGCTCTCATACTTCTCCGTCTCCTGGAGAGTGTTGCAAAGCAATTCCCCGGCGCTCGTCACACCTAAACCCACGTTTCCTGTCATTTCTGTCCACAAATAAAACAATAAAATGCATCTTTTCACTCCTCCAGTCACGGGGAATTAAACGTTCATATTTTAGAGTTTTTTCGCGAGGTGTTCTTCAAGCTTCTCCGTGTCTGCCGCTAGTTATCCTCAGCTCTCTTTATGTTTTTGAGGGCGCAATGGCGGCGGTGTAGACGACAGCGGCGTCCTGACCAATCACAAGCCTGCGTTGTCCGTCTCGACTGACGGATGTTTAGAAAAGAGAGCTCGAGTCCGTCTGTCCTTGCGCAGCTCACCGGCAGGCCCGCCAGGACGATGCGTGTCTCCGCGCTGACGCAGACGGAGAAGCATGAATCAGGCTTTAGTCGTAAACACACCCACACCGGATCAGGAGGACGACCACGTTACAACACAGGAACCCCCCCCCCTTCAGCCACCTTGTGCTGGTGGGTTTCTGCCTTTCACAGCCTTGACTTCTGGCCTCAAGGGAGAAGTTAACTACTCCTGTTGCTTTTGACATGAATGCAGGCGTCCTCGTCTCGTCTTTAATGAACATTGAAACTTAAAATCTCACACAAACATTAAGTGATGACCCCGTTACAACTTCCTGGTCATCAACGTAGCTACGGTCTAAGTGATGGTGCAGCTTTAGCTTCTCACACCAAACCTGCATTACTTGCTGCCAAAATACAAATACTTGTGAAAATTTCATTTGACAGTAAACGAGAAATTCTTCTATCAACAGAACATTTTCCGTTCTTTACTACAGGGTGTCTGCAGGTTTAAGGGAGCCAAATTTAAGACTTTTTAAGACCTCTACTAAGAACAATTTGACCAAATTTAAGCTATGTTTTCTAATTAAATTTAAGCTATAATTTCCAGCTATTGCCTGATTAGCCATCCAGTTACCATTGAACTTGCACTTCCCCATGGCGCAAGCTCCCACTAGCTTAACCAGCTAATGTGCTCATCTAAAAATAGCCCCCTTTCACAACCAGCTGAATGTGTACGGTTCCGCTTACGCCAGCGTCGTACACAAAAAATGCTGAACACTAACTAGAAATTCACGAACATTTTATAGAAATAAAAGAATCTTGTTTATTGGGTCTTTGGTCATTTAAGACCTTTGGAAACTGGATTTAAGGATTATTTGTCATTTTTAAGGATTTAAATTTGGAAAAGCAAATTTAAGACTTGTTAAGGACCCGCGGATACCCCGTTACTAAAGGTCGCTCTTTAGCGTGTAAAAGATCACTTCACTCACAAACAACCCTGACAGGATATTTGCTAGCTAACAGCGCTCCTCAGACATTTTGACAGCACAGGATTTCAACAGTCAGGTGAAGCGGTGCTTACTTCATCGGATGCAGAGCGGAGGCATTGCACTGCGGCTTGCTTCTTCATTTCCTCTAGACTCAGGTCGGTCCCGCCTTTCTTCTTGCTCTTGCCCCATTTCTTCCCAGTTCCCTTCTCCCATCCCAGGAAGATGTCGTTTTCCTGTCAGATTAAGAGTTTCAAAGATCAAAAGCTGTAAAAACCAAACACACTGCTGGGCCGACTTTACACACACAGCTGACAGGTGTGGGTACCCACCTGGTCCTGCAGGTCATAGTCATAACTGTCATGCAGCAGAAGGCTGAGAACGTAGCGGGTGTAAATCATGGCATCAATCCCGCACTTCTCCAGCTCCTGGCCAAGCCAGCTCTGAACTGGACCCAGCGACTGAAGCAGGGACATCTCTGAGGCAGGAAGGGGCCCCGCGAGGGGGTAGGGGCAGGACAGGTTCTCAGGAGGAGCAGGACCGTCTGAATCGGTGCTCACTGGACGCATGGGACCTCAGGTGTTGGCCATTCTCAGGCAGAGAAGCATGGTGACAGTAGTTCCTGTAGGGCGGTGGGTGGAGAGGAGCGGCGAGGCAGAACCTATCTGGATGAGGGGGCTGTCACTCCAGCAGGACGGACTGAAGGGGTTCTACATGGGGAGGATTTTTTTTTCTTTTTATTGCTTAAAGCAAAAAAAGGTGATTTTACTCATAAGGCATGGCTTATGCTGCTGAAAGATCTCAGCTGCCGAGCAGAACTCCAGACGTGTTCCCGTCGTGTTTAGTCAGCGGGGTCCATCTTGGGACTGTCTGACTTCACCGGCACAACCTGGAACACAAAACAAGCGCGCCTCAGTTCAAGTGCGTCACTGTGATGCTAATAAAACCAGACATATCAAATACTTCATGAAACAAATATTTATAAATAATCTGTGTGATTCGAGAACCCTGAGAAGTTCCAGAACGTGGAACACATTAGAAGTTAAGATCTGAACAGTTTAAAGGTGCAGTATGTAAGAATATAGAGAGGATTTTACAGTGAGATAATCCCAGAAGTTTCTGTCGTTTCAGAAGGAACATGTTTCATATCCAGCTAGCTGTGGTCAGTTCCTCTTTTCAGAACAAAGGAAGGAGGGACGCAACGACTGTTAACCATCAGTGAGTGTGGGGGTGCCGTGTCTGCTGCGAGCTCATGCTTCAGCACTCAAAGTGTTGGTTAAAGTGGTTGCAGTAACCCCAGGATGTCATTTTTACTTCATTTCCGCATGATGCACCTTTAATATGTGAATGGACATCTGCTTTCTGCTCAGTAATGTTGCATTCTGACTCCAGTTCTGCTTTCATTTAGGAAATCTTTTTGTTTAAACTTTAACAGAAATGAATTCCTAATCATTTAAAGGTGGAGTATAAAACATGAACACCACAGCAGCATCTAGCTTAAGGAGGCTGCAGTTGCAACAGCAGAACAACGTTTCCAGCCGTCAGGACACCTGCTGGTATGTGAAATGTTTCATTTGGGTCCATCTGTGGAAGGCTTCACCTAGACTCACTCTGGTTTTAGATCTTTTATGGTCGCTCCTCTTCTGAGAACGATAACATCCTCTGGGCTCAGGTCCGCTGTTTTCCACAGAGCTGTGCCGAGCGACCTGTTTGGCAACACAATGGTGCCCTCTACTGGCTGGTAGATGCAAACATACACCCAGGGCTGTGCCCGTCAGAATAAATATTTGATTTAATTTTAATTAAAATATGTCTTTTAAAGGAAACACTGTACCTTCATTCTGCACACCTCTAAACGCCCTGTGGAGGTTAGTTTTAAAACATTAAACAGTACCATTTTCAGCCTTTATTAACAGAGGACCTATTCCTGAACTATTAGTCACCATTTGTTTTTTATGTTTATACAGTCTGACCTTTCCAATTTTTAAAAAATGCACTTAAGCTCAGGTTGATTAATGAAAAACGCTTGATAGAGAAATCTGTTCAGGGTTTTTAAGCCTTTGTCCAAATCCAACTGAAACTTTTAACGCCCCTGCTCAGTGGCCTAGTGGTGGAGCGCCTGCTCTGGGACATCGGGGTTCAAATCCTGGTCGGGTCTTACCAAAGACTTTAAAAATGGGACGCAATGCCTCTCTGCTTGACACTCAGCTTCAAGTGTTTGTATTGGGGGGGTTAAACCACCAGTTATTTCCTGAGCACAGCCGCAGCTCACCACCCCCCATGTGGACGGGTCAAATGCGTAGCTGTAATATCACCAGTGAGTGGTGTTGATGATTATGGGATGTAATTAAAGGAGAATTTTCCAGGCTGATTCATAAAAATGAGAAAATTATTTTTAAAAGATTGTTTCCTTTCATCGTCTCAGTGCCATAGTGATGATGAGTTTCAGTGTGAAACAGTCCAGCACTTTAAGAACCGTGAAAACACCTGATTCACCTGCTTCTGGCTCTGGGGTCAGATTAAACCAGTCTACTGTCATTCTTAGATCCAAATGCGACTTCAGCTGTAAAACATAATCGATTATAAATGATAGGACAGGTGTCTCTTTGGCAGCTGCAGACCCCTGAACTACCACGGATGTCTATGACGTAACAAACTACAACACCTACGTCATTTAAAAATCAGCTGTGAGGGGGCAGATGAAGCCACGCGTGTCTCCCGGTTACCGGAATCCGGTCACCGGCGTGCAGAGCAAATGTAGGCTGCGGGGACGTGATTGGCTGACCGGAGCGTCATTCTGCGTCGTCATTTCAGAGTGAAAGGACAGGATAAACAGCTTTACCGGTGCGCTGCCCGACACCGCTTCATCACGTTTACCTGCGGGTCAGAACCAGGGGCAGACTGGCCATCTGTGGATTCTGGAGAATCACAGAACGGCCGGTGGAATGGCCCGCCACTCTCCACGCACGCTTTCAACACCTGTCCCCCCCCCCAAAGCCCCTTCACGCTCCTGCACTCTAGGTGGCAGCACTGCACCTCTAAGTTGGATGCCAGCTACATTGGCTGTGGCCGCCAGGCAAGGAGAAGAAGAAGCTGAAGCGGAGAGGAGGCAAAGGCAGTAGAAAAAAAACGATGCAAAACCCGGTGTCGATACAGGATCGGCTCGGGGTCCTTCGACTGCAGATGACTTCAAAGTACGGCAAACCCACTTGGACAAAATACACTACACATCTATTCTGTTGGAAAGAATTCAGCAGTTTCAATATTAAAATAATGTTTCTTTAGACGCAAGTTTGTGTTTATAATGGTATTTGTAAAATAAAACACTATATTGTATTCCCGAGCGCGGCTTGTCTGCAGCTCACCGCTCCCCCAGGGGATGGGTCAAATGCGGAGAATAAATTTCGCACACACACCTGTGTGTGACAACTAATGGGACTTTACCTTTATAATGTTGAACTCCTCTTTGAGCACATCCGTTGAAGGCTCATAGGTATTAGCAACACCTGTGAAATTGTATTTGCAGGAAAGAAGTGTGTCCTGTTTATTGAAGTATTTTGTGTTTAGAGTTTTTGACGTCTTGTCCATGCGTAGTTCAGGTACGCTCATAGCTGCTAGCCAAAACTCTGGAGTTAAAAGTTTTCTGGCTTTACTAAAATACCTGTCTGTACTTATTTGATTGATGGTAGTTTTACTTTCTATTAGACTCCAAATGTAATCATTTGGCACGTTTCTAATTCATAATTTGTAAGAATGTAATCGGTGATATTAGCATTAGCATTCCTATGGGTTTTTCCATGTATATTAGCATTGCGCTAACCAATCGCTGCTAAATTGCAGCCTTTGCGATTAGAAAATCCCCTTTTGTCACATCACAATTTAATTGCCCATGCAGTTAATCGTTCAGCCCTAATATACATGCAGCTCTATGCTAAAAGTGTATTTTCAAAGAGGCAATGATGGATTTCTTTGTAAAAGTTGTCCATCTTTCCAACAGAAAGATTTGCCTGGACCAACGTAACGTGATAACGTAATTCCGTAAGGTTCATGTTCAGCTAATCAACTACTTTGACGTCATCGGCAGTCGACGGACCCCGAGCCGATCTTGCACCCGAGCGGATCCTGTACAGACACCAGCCGCTAGTATAAAAAAAAAGTTAAAAAAAAGGAAAGAAAAGGGTGGGCTGAGAAGGTGGGCATTAGATGCTGAAGCCTCTAAATGTCACAAATTAACCAACATATTTAGACGCACAGCCAGCAGCAGCACCTCGCAGCAGGTTCACAGCAGTGAAGAAGTCACGCAGATAGCTACACAGCAACATGCCAGCAGTAATGAGGCGCTGGTTCCACAGGCAGATCCAGGGGAAGTAAGAATGGAATGTATGAGAAACATTTGTAAGGATTGATGTTAGGAATTCATGTTTAGGTTGCAATTTTATTTCATCATAACAGGCAAATTTCAACATTTTAGCTGTAAAAGGACACATGCAGTGGGTGATAAGAAGTATGTTGTGGTTTTACGTAAAAAAGGTTGGTAGTAGTGTTCAAGTAATGCTCACAAACTTTGAAAATCTTAAATATAGAAGTTACATTTGTAATGTTGAATTTTCATTTAGATGTGGTATTATTTGTGCAGGAAGAAGATTAATTACTGCACAAATTAAGCTTATCAGTAATACAGCTTTAAATACAACATATAGTCAACATTAGCGCTGTTGCTATAATTTTGATGGTTTGATCACATTTTTTTGCTGCTTAATTTCCGCGCGCCGATTACTTTGGGCCGGGCCTAGTCAAAGTCCAGGACTGTTTTTTAGTCCCAGTCCGTCCCTGGTCAGAACCGAGCCCTGTCGGGTTGGCCGGGCAGACGCTAAATATGGCTGCCCAGCTTTCCCAGCCAGCTGTTGTCTTGGATTAGCCACCGCGGAGATCCTCTCACCGACAACTTCATTCAATGAGCTCCTCTCCGCCTACGAGTGGCCGTTACATCTGCTTCAGCCTCGCAGTGAAAGGTGGAAAGCAGGAAAAAATAACATGACATTGGTTAATATTAATAAATGTATTTAAACCAATAATGTAGCTGTTTACACATACAGCTGCGACACCGGTGAGATTGTGTAACAGTTGCAGTCTAATGGGGGTTTTAAACTTGGGGCGGAACTATTTTGGCTCATTCTGCAGGCTAGCTGGACCACCGACCTTTAGCTGACGAGCTAGCTTAGCCGATTAGCTTCCCTGAGCTGTTCCGTTTTCTGACACTGATGTTTGACCCTTTCGTCACGGTTATCTAACGGGGGCTCTTAACGTGAAGCTGCACCGAGGCTCGCGGGTTTAGCCAGGTCGTTTTCCCTGTTTCTGCTGACATTAGTCACACTCCGCGGTGTTGTGACGGACAGGTGACCGGAGGCTTCTGCGCTGCATCAGAGATCCGACGATCCACTAAAAGACGACAGAGCCCGGCGGTGTTGGGCCGAACGCGCAGCCCCAAACAAACCACATGATCGCGCCTTACGACCGAGCAGAACAGCGCAGGAATGTGTCGGGGTTTGAATGATAGCTAATATTAGCTTTCACGGAGCTCCGCTTGTTGTTGTGACCGAAGGGGGAGGAACAGCGGCAACCCGGTACCAGAGGACTGTCAGGCGTTTTTCCCCCCTGAAAATGTGCGCCATGTCGATACGGCGAGACCGTAAACAAATTCAACATTACACCAAAACGAGAGCTGGGGCTGGCAAATGCGGACCAGAAGCCCCATGCCGGCTCTTACCTGCCGTGGCCTGAAGTGGAGAGGAGCAGCGAAAAGGGAGCGGCTGTTTCTCTCCCGCTGCCGTTCCGAGCTCAAGCTCTGGAATCCGCTGCGGCAGCAGCGCGTATCATGGACGCCGACAGAAATGGCGCTGTTTTCACGTCTAGCGCTTCTTCACCAGCGTCGAGCGAAGCCGGCGACATTCGGGCTCCAGCCAGTGAAGGGTCGTTCCTCGATGACAGGGAACGCAAAGCGCCACAATGTCCGCCGCCGGACGCCAGTTTCATTTGGAGTGCGCCACCCTCCGCGTTGGTATCCTAGCAACACGACGAAGCTCCGCCGTCCTGCTGCCGCTGATCGGATCCCTCCGCAGGAGTGTTGCATCAGAAGTCCAACTAGTACTCATTTCTGCACTCTGCTAAATTTAACTGGACTCTAGGCAGAGTAACCGCAAAGAACCAGTCAGTATGTAAACATGCAACTCACATGATGTTTGTTTTTCACGCAACAACAGTAGTGCTTCATGTTTGAGTAGTAACAAATGTAAGGAATGGAAATCATTAAGGCCCGATCCACACAGACTAGTTTACATATTCCACATATCTGTAATTGAATCCAAAAGCCAGAGTCACGCTATGACCCAGAATAGATACAGCACGTTTTCCTTTGTTTCTATTTGTTGTTATGCATGTACTTTACAGTAAATAACAATCTCTTCTAGATCCGATGCCTTTCCTAACTCTGCACAAACATCTTGTGTTTGAGGCTAAAACAGGATGTGGCCACTCCTGGACGTACTCAGGCAACTTACACTCAATATCTTCTTTATTTCAGAAATATGTTCAAACGCACGCTAAAACCACACAGCTGCCATTCGGTGCATTTAGGCGCACGTGAAAACTGTTTCCCTGCACCAGCACACCTGGTGTGAGTCAATGGATGATTATCAGGCCTCTGGAGAACTTGAAGACATGCTGAACAGCTGATTAAATTATTGAATCAGGTGTGTTGGAGCAGGGAAACATGTAATACAGGGGGCTGGTCCAACACGCCTGATTTGAATCGTTGGATAATTAGCTTCTGGAGAACTTGAGGAAATGCTGAACAGGTGACTATTGAAACAGGTGTGCAAGGAAACATCTGTAACATGTGTCTCTAAATGCTTTCATGTCGATGTGGCTCAAAATATCTGAGGAATTTCCATCAGGTTTGAATGATTTTAGCCATGAAGGGTTAAAGAAACTGAAGGTAAAATTTGGTCAGTCAGCTTCTGTTTTAACCTTTTTCTTCATCGGTTGTTTTCACACAACTAGACAAAAGCAAACACTTTTGTTGCTCTGTGCTTTTGAGGCATTTTGATATTTTAGTTGAAACACAGCTCTGGTGAACTTTGCACGCAGTCTGTGCTCCTCAGAGTAACATCAGCAGATGTGAGCCAACAAATGACTGAATCAGGCTGTGTGATCTTAACAAGGCTTAGAGGGTCCCGTAGGACCCGTTAGCAGATAAATATTGATCTGTCTTTGATCCTTATCTGGAGCCAGAGTAAGACACCCAAAGGCTGACCTCAGAGTTCAGAGACACCAGGAAGTGGTGAAAAACATCCCAGTCGCTAATAAAAAAATCTGCCCTGCAAACGTTCAGCTCTTCCTGTAACGGATCAGATCTGATCTGAGTGTCAGCCACAATCGCAGCAACACGCCATAACTAAACTTTTGCTGAGCTATCTGCTCTGCTCCTCGCTCTGACTGCAGTCTCATGTTCCAAGAGTTAACTGAAAGTCCATTTGAAGCACATGGCTCTGGTCAGGGTATCCGCAGATTTAAGGGAGCCAAATTTAAGACTTTTTAAGACTTTTTTTTAAGGCCACTTTGACCAAATTTAAGCTATTTTAAAAATTAAATTTAAGCTATAATTTCCAGCTATTGCCTGGAACCGGTGCTAACCACGTCGCGAACGTGGGATTAACCATACATTTACCATTAAACTTGCCCTTTCCCATGGCGCAAGCTCCCACTAGGTTAACCAGCTAATGTGCTCATCTAAAAAAAATAGCCCCCTTTCACAACCAACTGACTGCGTACGGTTCCGCTTACGTCAACATCGTGCACAAAAAATGCTGAACACTAACTAGAAATTCATGGAATTTTTATAGAAATAAAAGAATCTTGTTTATTGGGTCTTTGGTCATTTAAGACCTTTGGAAACTGGATTTAAGGATTATTTGTCATTTTTAAGGACTTTTAAGGCCTTAAATTAGGAAAAGCTAATTTAAGACTTTTTAAGGACCCGCGGATACCCTGTCTGGTAAAAGATGTCCCACAATCCTCTTCTAGGCAGGGGGCGGTGAAGTTATGGTGATTTCACTCTGGAGCTTTAAAGACCCAACAAACACAAAGCTCCACCTATAATAACTCCAGCATCACTTCAGACAGGGACATTAAACTGAGACGCTGTTTTGTGTCGTGGCACGTTTTGGTAGTTATAGTCCGGTGTTGGCTCACCAGTCCAGTCCAACCCTGAGACTGGATGTACCTCTTCAGTTTGGAGTCAATCTAATCCAAGATGGAAGCAACAACTAATGTTGGTCAAATTTAAGGGCTGCATCCTTCGAAAGCCGATTACGTCACAGAGATGCAACAAAGGCCGTCCAAATTCTGAAGCTCCTTGGTAAATGGTCTGTATCGGTATAGTGTTGTCTTAGGGTTCTACCACCCCCCCAAGGCGCTTCACTACAGAATCAGTCATTCACACGCTGGTGGTGATGAGCTACGATGTAGCCACAGCTGCCTTGGGGCGCACTGACATAGGCGAGGCTGCAGAGCACATGCGCCACCGGTCCCTCCGACCACCACCAGCAGGAAAGACGGGTTAAGTGTCTTGCCCAAGGACACAACAGCAGAATTCTCTGGTCGGGGCCTACTGCTGTCCTTCAATGCATCCTTGTGATTTGAATGATGGGACTAGTGCATCCTTCTTGGCCCTCCTTATCCCAAGATTCATTGTGGGCTGAAGTTTTAAATGTGTCCTAACCTCCTAGGACCCTGTGTCCACACGCATGGACATTGGCTCCTTGCACTTAAAATGTTTATTCTCTTCTACTTAGACCTTTTTGTTATTATTTAAAGACACTTTATATGACTTTAATTTAAATTTATTTTTGTTGTCTCTTTTTATTAGGATATTTGAAAACATTTTTATTTACTGAATTAAAATCGTTGTAACTTTGTTTCTGTTAATTACAGTCGACTGATCTGTAATAGCTAGATATGTTTTTTCTTTTGCATCAAACCAAATGCAACTTTTGGTCTCAGGAGGTTAAAATCTGGGGTATAAAAATTTAAAAGCTTCAAATGATTGTGTTGTTAGGTTTGTGTCATTTGCATAGTTTAAAAAATGTCAAAAGGCTTGACAACTCATCGTAAATGAGTTGCACGGTGATCGAGAATCCAATAGAGCTACATGGAACATTTGTTAATCCAGCTAGCTCACATTAGCAGTCTAACTTTGGCTAACTCTGTTAGCTGAGTAGTTGTAATTTCTCCAGAATACACGCTTGTATAAGAAACTTATAACACTGGATTTAAGTGGGCCAAGTCAGTATTAGCTTAGTTATAAACAGCACGTGTGTCCAGCCTCTAATCCACCATCACGCAACCATAATGAACACGTTTGATGGTTGCTCAGTGTGTTTTCCAGCAGTGCGGTAAAGAGGAAAGACTCCACACTAGTCCAGGTCAGGACTTGGACAATAACGGAGCTCTACACATGGGACCAAACCAAGCAGGCGACCCTGACCAGATCAGATGTCATTTTGAACATCTTAGGTGTGTTCTTGCTGTGTCGTGGTTCTAATTCCATGCTTTCGTTCTTTTTAAACACAGAAACAGTTTTGTTTACCTGTTTTGTAGCTACAGTTTCGCCGACGGCTGCCGGCTTCTTCAGGCTGACGCTGATGGTGGCGCGTCACTTCCTTCTCAGTTTATCTGTAGCTACAAAACAGGTAAACAAAACTGTTTCTGTGTTTAAAAAGAACAAAAGCATGGAATCAGATGTCATTTTGTTGTATTTCTGTGGTTTATCTCAGGCACCTGAAGCTAATCACATGCTATCCAGATAATCTGACGGATCTCATTAAAGCTATTTATCATCATCGTCCAGTCACACGTCAGCTCTCACAGGGACGGATGTCTCCTGAACATCAAACAGCAAGTGAGTCTCTCAGCTGACACACTTCTCACACTAACTAATCCTTTTTAGAGAAGTTAAAAGCTCGTCCACTGAGGGACCAATCACAGCTCGGTGCATTTATCAGAGGGACCAGTCAGCAGTGCCTTTGAGGAAGGTACAACTTCCCCACCCCTTTAAAGCCATATGGTTCCTCTTTATTGTCTCCAGACCTGTTGACTATGTCCGCTCTGGACTTTGAGTGCAGAGCACATTTGTCGGTAAACCATCTACAGCTTGGAGCTAATCAGAAACACAATCATCAAAACAAGCCGGATCAACCTAAATGAATGCAATAATGCCCATAATTCCCGTGTGGTGCTGCGTCTCCTTGTCTCACCCGTTCTCTTGATCATCACTTGTTGCTGCAGTCATGTGCGTCTTGCAGAAATAACAGGTGTGCAAAGTGTCATCGCGAGCATCGAGGAAAGAGAAGTGCTGAACTTCTGTATTTGACCGAGTGTTGATCATTAAAGCTGATAATCAGCGGTTCTTCTGCAGGTATTAACCAACCCTAACCTGGTGCCACGGTCTGCGTCCCCCTCATGTGTTCTCCAACCCCCCTCCAGGTTCTCCCCTAAGGTTCCTGTGCCCCGTTTTTGTATTTATATTATCAAGCTAATTTTTTCCTGTAGTTTCTTCGGTTCAGGTTTTCTTCTAGGCCCTTCCTCACTGGTTTATTGGTTCTCCTTTCCTCCTTAGATCATTAGTTATTTATCTTGTTCTTCTAGTCTTATTTGTAGGTCATGTTTTATTTCCCCTCTTCAGCTTCTTCTTCTTCTTAAGAGTTTTACGGCGGCCGGCAACCAACTGAAAGGTGCATCACCGCCCCCACTGTTCCGGAGTGTGGATCAGAGTTTACAGTCTATCTTTCAGCCCTCTTCAGCTCAGTTTCCTCTCCCTGATTAGTAGATGGATTTCACCGGGTTTCTCTCTCCCCACGCACCTGCAGGTCATCTCCCAATAATCCTGCCCCCGTGTATAAAACCCT